AGGCCAGACTCGCTTGAGTTCAGACCGAACCCTTTTTTGTATGCCCCTATAGATTGCCCCTCCCCGGTGGCTCCAAACTTAGGGGTGGTTCCGCGTATGTCCTAAAGTTGGGGTTTCTCCTGGGGCACGTATCTTTTTGTGCTGTACGCATGCTACTCTGGATTGCACCTGTCCCGTGGCTCCAATCCTAGATGTGTTGCGTCGGTTCCTGTAACACTGGGCCTCCCCTCGCACACGAATCCTCCCCTGGAGGCCACAGGAGGCTCCACGAGACTCCCGGAGGCACCAGGCGGCACGAGGAGGCACCCGTGGGCCCCAAGAGATTCCAGGAGGCCCCAGAAACGCCGCAGGACGCCCCAGAGGGGGCCCAGGGGGCCCCAGAAGGCCCCACGGGGCTCCAAGAGGCAACAGGAAGCCCCCGGAAGGCCACAGGAGTGGGTCCAATCAAATGTGCCTTACGCGTGTCTTTATAGATTGCGATCATCCTGGGGCACGAGGCCTGTATGTTACGCGTTTTCCTGTAGATTGCCCTTCTCTCCTGGCCTCAAGCCCATGTGATTTCTTTATGCTGCTATAGATTGTGCCTCCCCTGGGATACGAACCCTGGAAGTCCCGACCCTTTCCCCGGGACCGGTTTTTCATCCTGAGTCATTTTTGACGGTCCCAAGTTGGAGGGTGAAAGTGGGGGTCGGGCGCAGGGTCCCCGCAATGATGTTTTTTAAGGCCATGAATGGGCGATACATCCTTGATTGCTGTGTTCGGTGGGGGAACTAATTGAAGCCCCCCACCTGCACCCGCGCGCGAGACTTGAGGGGGAAGGAAGCAAGGGGGCGGGGGGCTCGGGAAAGGCGACGAAGGCAACGTGCGCTAAGGGCGCAAAAAGAAAAGGCTGGAACACACGAAAGGGGTCTGGTGAGTGTCGAAATCTGCCCAGCCAATCTGACATGCGGAACACTGCGCCTCAGTTTGGGGGATCTTGAAGGCCAGGGCAAAATGTGAATTCACATTGTGGGGAAAAGCAAAATGTGAATTCACATTTGGGGAAAAAGGAAAATGTGAATTCACATTTTGGGAAAAAGGAAAATGTGAATTCACATTTTAGAATTTTGTGTAGGATTCTTTATGAAGGGGCCAGAATGTGAATTCACATTTTGGGAAAAAGGAAAATGTGAATTCACATTTTGGGAAAAAGGAAAATGTGAATTCACATTTTGGGAGAATCGCGGGGCCCATTCCAAATCTGTCTTGGGGGTCGAGAAGTCATCGTTTGGGAACATACGCGATCATCAACCGCACAATCAAGACACACTTGCACTCCACTTCGCCGACCCACACGCAATATGCAAGAACGCCCGCACGCATGAACGATAATGGATGGACGGCGCGTGTGCCCGCGCGGGCAACGCGCGGGCACGAATGACTGGCCATCAATGACCGCCAGCATTGGATGCCAATCGTACCCGATCACAGACATGAGCGATACATTGAGCATACATGGGCCATTCAGCCCCCATTGAAGACCCCCTGTTGCAGACCCCCTCTTTCACCCTCCAACCAAGGCCCGGCAAGGGCCCCACCAGGCCGAGAACGGCCGAAAACCCGCCGTCTTGATTTTTGCAACGAAGCGATCACGTCTGGGAACCATCCACTGATTGGGTTTTTTCTCTGGTTTTTAGGTTTGTTCCCATAGATCTCTCCTGTGGTTCCAGTCCTACAGTCGGGGCCCTGAAGAAGGAACCCTGTTGGTTGGGGAGGGGCTTCGCGTGCCTTCAGTGTTTCACAGCTTGCCTCAGGTTTCCCTTACGTTTTCGACATGAAATCGAAGTTTAACTTATGAAAAAAAGGGGCCTCGTTCCTTATTCAGGGTTCCTTAGGTCAACGCCCCGACTTTAGGTGTTGTGCGCGCGTTCCTGCAGATCGGGCCACTCCTCTCCGTGGCGCGTTTTTTGCCGCATCGAGGCCCGGCCACGCTGCGCGAGATCTCTTTGGGGTGGGGCCAGCCTACGAAGCGCAAGGGTTTCGCACGGCGTCTGCATGAGCACCCCGCTCCTCCTCCTCCTCCTCCTTCTCCTCCTCCTCCTCCTCCTCCTCCTGCTCCTCCTTCGCTCGCACGGCGTTTGCATGAGTCCTTGCTTCATTGTGGAAGGAGGGATCGCGTAGCCACTTCGATTCAGTCACGCCCAGTTACGCTCAGGCCGTTGACGTGCAGATGCACCCATCCGAAGCTTCTAATACATACGCAGACACAGGAGCAAAGACTCATTCGCACGACTGAGACTCATTCACACTCCAACTCATTCACAGTTAGGTTCACTCCAAGTCCGTCAACACTCAAGCTCGCACATGTTCGAAAACTCTTGCGCCTAGACACTCACGGCGGACATGTCCACACATATATATATATATATATAAATGTATGTATGTATGCATGCAGTCATGTATATATGTATGTATATATGTATGTATGTATGTATGTATGCATGTATGTATGTATGTATATGTATGTATATGTATGTATGTATGTATGTATGTATGTATGCATGCATGCATGCATGCATGCATGTGTGTATGTATGTATGTATGTATGTATGTATGTATGTATGTATGTATGTATGTATGTATGTATGTATGTATGTTTGTATGTATGTATGTATGTATGGATGGATGGATGGATGGATGGATGGATGTATGCATGCATGCATGCATGCATGTATGTATGTATGTATGTATGTATGTGTGTGCATGTATGCATACACGGTGAGCTCCACGCAGTGGCAAATTATTTATATGGGAGGGCCTGAGCCCAATCTAGTGCATCCGCCTTCTTACTTCATGCTTTCATATACATCGTCCGACCAGCGTGTAAAGAAAAAGCTGGTCCATGTTAGCGGGGGTCAGCCTGGGCGCCAGACCTTACAGGATCTTGCAGAGCCAGGGCTGCGTCGGCCCGAGCTCGGGCGCAGGATCCGGTGGAATCCTGCAGAATCTTGCAGGATGCTGCAAAGCCTGATTGACCCAGGTTTTCCCTGACCCGGGTCCGTAGTTGGATCCCCGAATGAGTACGGAGACGGACAGCAGTTCTGATCCATGTGGAACAGGACCTGCTTTTGCCGTCGGGCGCTGTCCACCGTCTGACAGAAGGCCGCATCGATTCGCAGGAACCAGCAGCGACTCGCGTGGATTAGCGTCGCCTGGCGTCGATCCGCAGGAGCCAGCAAGATAACGCGGGAGGTCCCCATGAGCTGCCACAGACGAGGCAGCCGCGTCGGGCAGCGCTAGGCTCACAGATCGAGGTTCCCAGATCTCCACGATATTGTTTGTTCAATCGGGGCGTGTTTTTCCATGAGCTCTCTCTGGGCTTTGGGACTTGAGACAGTTGACCTGGGGCGAAGCAACTGGCGAAACGATTGCCGTTGGGAGGAAAGGGTCGGCATCTGTGGAGCCGCAGACTGACACAATCAATCGTCGATTCCCCAGAAAATATAAGGAAATATGGAAAGTGGGGGGGGGGGAAGACGAAAACCCAGAAAATATGGGAAAATATGGGGAATCCTGTTATTTGTGTGTCCCAGGGCTCCTTCATCAACGAGAGGAAGGGGACTGGCTCAGGGGGGAAGACATGGACCCCGATCGCCCGTGGACCGCCAGTCGGGGCCCGGTCCTCCTCCTCGTCCTCGTCCTCCTCCTCCTCGTCCTCCTCCTCATCCTCCTCCTCGTCCTCGTCCTCCTCCGCCTCCCTCGTCTCCTCCTCCTCTCCTCCTCCTCCTCCTCTTCGGTCCTCCTCCTCCTCCTCCTCCTCCTCCTCCTCCTCCTCCTCCCCCCCTCCTGCTCCCTCCTCGCCAGGGGCGTGCGGTTCTGCTGTCGGGAGCCGGTCGCCGACGTGTCGACGGCTTCAAGTCGATGCCCCCCCCCCCCCCCGGGCCAGTCCCCCTGACCGCTTCCCCTCAAGTTGAGCGCAACATTCGTCCTCGTCCTCCAGGACGAGGAGGAGGAGGAGGGGGAGGAGGAGGAGGAGGAGGAGGAGGAGGAGGAGGAGGAGGAGGAGGAGGAGGAGGAGGAGGAGGAGGAGGAGCCGGGCAACATTCGTGCCGTCGTCTACCTCCTGGAGGCCTCTCGTCGCCACGGACCGCCACTGCCTCGAGATGGCGCTCCCTCGAGCCGGCCCAGGATCGCGACAACTCACAGCAGGCCGCTCCAGCTCAGCGATCCTCGAGTCGTCCCGGTCCATGTGTTGTGCTGCCCCTGGTATCCGCCGATCTATTTTTTTTGCGCGGCCCCAGGGCCATATTCATTTGTGACAGCCCGGAGGGCCCGATAAACGGGCCATGGGGGCTGAAGCCAAAACAAAACCCAGATCGAAGAGGTCATATCGGCGGAAGTTTGGGTTCCCGTGGACCCCCAGCTGAAGGTCTGGACCTCTTCCTGGGGACCAGCTTTTCATCCGAGTAGTTGTTTGACGGCCCCGAGGCCCAGTGAATGCCCCCAGAGTCCAAAAATAGCGAAAAGCCTTCCGTCACTATGGTTTTTACGACGCGCGGAGGCCTACAGTGGAGATCCATGCCAAGAAACACTCTGCTTGCCTTCAGGGTGCCCTGGGTTTCTTGGGTTTCGAAGGTTCTGCTGTGGAAAGCGTGGCGTTCCCACACCAAAAATCCATGGACGTCCTGGGGTCTCATGGTTGGGTTTCTTGGGAAAGGTTTCTTGTGGACTGGCCTCCACTGTATGTAGCTTTTCCTCTTCGACCCCCCCCATCCTCTTCCTTATCCTCCTCTTCCTCATCCTCCTCCCCCCCTCCTTCTCCTCCCCCTCCCCCTCCCCTTCCTTCTCCTCCTCTTCCTTCCTTCTCCTCCTCCTCCTCCTCCTGACCCTCCTCCTCCTCCTCCTCCTCCTCCTCCTCCTCCCCCTCCTCCTCCTGCACCTCCTCCTCCTCCTCCTCCTCCTCCTCCTCCTCCTCCTCCTCCTCCTCCTCCTCCTCCTCCTCCTTTTGTCTTTCCCGAGAGGCCGAGGAGGCGCTCCGCCGGGCGGAGGAGGCGCGCGAGCGCGAGGCAGCCGCCGCCGCGTCCAGGCGCACCGCCGAGCTGCCGCCCGGGGGCGGCCGCCCGCTCCTCGTGGGGGGCGGGGCGGAGGGCCACCCTGGGGAGGCAGGCCTCGGAAACGCGCAGGCGGGGGCATTTCGCTGGAGTGTCTCCTCCTCCTCCGCCTCCTCCTCCTCCTCCTCCTCCGCCTCCTCTCCTCCTCCTCCTCCTCTCCTCCTCCTCCTCCTCCTCCTCCTCCTCCTCCGCCTCCTCCTCCTCCTCCTCCGCCTCCTCCTCCTCCTCCTCCTCCTCCCCTCCTCCTCCCCCCCCTCCAACTCTTCCTCCTCCACCAGATCCTCATTCTCCTCCCCCTCCTCCTCATCATCTTCCTCCTCCTCCTTCTCCTCCTCCCCCTCCAACTCTTCCTCTCCGCTAGCTCCTCCTCTTCTTCTTCCTCCTCCGCCTCCTCCACCACCTCCGCCGCCTCATCCTCAGCCTTCTCCTCCTCCGCCTCCTCCTCCTCCTCCTCCTCCTCCTCTTCCCCCCTCCTCCCCCTCTTTCTCCTCATGGTTCTCTCCTCCTCCTCCTCCTCCTCCTCCTCCTCCTCCTCCTCCTCCTCCTCCCTCTTTCCTCCTCCCCCTCCAACTCTTCCTCCTGCGCCTGATCGTCCTCTCCTCCTCCTCCTCCACCTCCTCCACCCCCTCCTCCTCCTCCTCCTCCTCCTCCTCCTCCTCCTCCTCCTCATCATCATCATCATCACCATCATCATCATCATCATCATCATCATCATCATCATCACCATCATCATCATCATCATCATCATCATCATCGCCATTGTCATCATCCTCATCCTCATCCTCATCCTCATCCTCATCCTCATCCTCCTTCTCCTGCCAGAATACCGATGCCGCACTCTGACGACGCGCGCAGAAATTCCTCAAGCTGTTCGACTGGGCGGACGTCGATCGCTCTCCGAGGCTTCTCGCGTGCCCAAGGAGTCGTAGACGCAATTTGCATCACGTCTAGATGTTCAGTTGCCCGAGGCAGACGGCAATGAGAGGTCTCCTGGGGGCTGAGAGGTCTCCTGCACGAGGAGGGCGCAGGCCTGACCTCTCAGGGCAAGCAGAACATCAGGGCCTTGGCGCAGGGCAGCCTGGACTGCGACAGCGCAGCCTGGGCTCTACGCCGATACGCGCTGGAGGTTTCGAGCGTTTGCTTCCTGGCCGGCCTGGCGCTTGCCATGCTGGCCTCGTCGAGTGCTGAGGACTCCGGCCCAGGTTCTAGCGAAGGTGGCGCCACACGTCAGTCCCTCTTCTCCCCCCATCCACCTCGCGATCGGCCGGAGGTCGGTGAGTTTCCAGCCCTCGACGAAGACGAGGTATGCGACTCGGACGAGCAGGCAGATCTCGAGAGCGAACGAGGGGAGCGCGCACTCCGCGGCAGCGCTGTCAGCAGAGATCGACGATCAGGATTTGGACGAGGACCAGGTCGAGGAGGCGCCCGCACTGCTCGACGCGCGCAGCAACGGCAGGATCCGGAAGCAGAGCAAGGACCTGAAGAGGGCGGTGCGCCGAGACACTCAGCGTTGCGGAGCGAAGCCCAGAGGGCATCGCCCTCCTCCAGCGACCGTCCAGCTGCGGAGGACATCGCGGTCGAGGTCATGGCGGCGGCAAGGCCGGCGGGGACGGGCGCAACAGCCCCGGGCCTACGCCCGAACAGCTCATGGGGATCGCCAGGTGCAGGATCTGCCACGAGAAGGGCCGCTGGCACCGCGAGTGCCCGAGCCAGGATCGAGCAGGCAAGGGCCCGGGTGAGCCTCGGGGGCGGCCGCCGCGGGCTGTCAGCCAACATGCTCGACGGGCTCGTTGTTCGTCCGGCGACAAGCCTAGCAGCTTTCCTGTTCCAGCGGCCTGGGAGTTGGGCGACTGCGAGATCACCCATGGCGACGCTTTTCTCGGGCCGAACGAGAGGGGGGGATTGGGAAAGGGGGGGGTGCGAAATTTGCTGCATGCAGCTGGTTTCGGCCTCACCGAGGGGCCCGTTCCTCGATACATGGCTCCCTCCGGCGCCGGGAGGCGCCGGGAAAATCAGCTACGCGAGCTGATTCTCAACCCCCCCCTTTCTGGAGGGAAAAAACACACAGACACAATTAATCGTCGATTCCCCAGAAATATAGGAAATATGGGAAGTGGGGGGAAGACAAACACCCAGAAAATATTAGAAAATACTGAGAATATTGTTATTTGTGTGTATTCATTTGTGTGGCCCAGGGCCCCTTCACCCTTTGCTATCCCCCCCTTTCGCCCGGCCCGATTTTCTCCGCATCGGGCCCCCTCGGGGGTCGGCGGGCCCCCGGCGCCGGGCGCGACCCCGCACGCGCGCCGGCTGGCATCGCGGGCCCCGGGCGCCAGCGGACCCTGGGGTGCGACGCGTCGTCGTTCCGGAAGACCTCAGGAGGGGAAGAAACACACAGACATAATTCATCGTCGATTCCCAGGAAAATATGGGAAAATATGAGAAGTGGGGGGGAAGACAAAAACCCAGAAAATATAGGAAAATATGGGGAATCCCAGGGCTCCTTTAAGACAAAAACCAAGAAAATATGTGTGTATTTATTTGTGTGTCCCAGGGCTCCTTTAAGACCGCCGCCCTGCCAGGACGGCCCACAGGATCGCCAGGGCCGCCAGGATCGTCAGCGCTATTCTATGTCCTCTCTGTCTGAGAGGGGCCCCAGACGTCATCGGGACTGCGTTGCTGGAGAATGACGCCTTTCTCGTTTGCGTGATCGGTTCGCCAGGGAAGGTGATTGAGTCGGCCACGCTGGAAGGGCAGATCCAACTGACCAGGCTGAGCTCGGGGCACGGGTGGTCGATGTCGCGAGGCCCATCAAGAAGTCTCCAGGGCCCCCAGCTGAGCACTCAGGCGCCATCCTCCTGTCGCCTGCACCGTTTGCAATTGGCAGCGGCCGACCTCACGAGATGCCCGCTGACGGGTCGGTGTCTGGATACTTCTACCGCGTTCTCCTCGTTATCCTTCCGTTCCTCTTCAGCATGCGCCATGACCATGCCCGCGCACGATGTTTTAGAAGCTTCCGAGGGCGCATATCAATGGTATTTACGGTGCCGACAGCGCTTTCCTCAGCAGCCCACCCTGGCCAGGGTTTCTCCGCGTTCATAGCGCACCGCCCGGGCGTTCTTCCAGGACATCTTCGAACCACGACGCCGACAACGAAGATTCTGCTAACCATTGTCCTCGGCGGCCTGCTGGGCAGCGCCCTGGCCGGAGGCAGGAAGGACACCCGCGCCAAAGGCGGCCACAGTGGCTTTCTATCGGCTCGGCAATCGGCCAGGCAGCGGTTGGCACCCAGCGGATTCTCAACGGCCTTGCCGCCGGGTCACGGAGAGGCCGTCATGCTCTCCGAGTCCGAACCCGAGATCGAGGGCGGCCCACCGCGTGGGGGGGCCGCGAGCTCGAGCACCCATGCAACAGCAGCACCGCCGACGGCACCGACGGAGTCATCAGAGGTAAGACGTGTATTCGTCTCTCTGCTCCCACACTTGGCGACGCCACGTGTGGATAGGGCCATGAGGGAACGCATCGACCTCATGTCGCCCACTCGTCGCCGATGCGGACCCGATAGCCCGCCCCGCCCAGTAGCGTGCGGCTTCGCTCTCGGGGGGCAAGCCGCCGAGATCTTGGCGATGTATCGCCGACTCGAGGTCGATCTCTGCGCGCTCTGCCATAGCAAGAGCAAGCGCGCCGAGAAGATGGATCAGATTCAAGGGGCCCAGGGACACGAAAAAATAAACAAACCCAAGGACTCTTCATATGTCTCCATAGTTTTCGGATTTCCGTCTTCCCCCCCATGTCCCCTAGTTTCCCATTTTCCTGGGGGTCGACGATTCATTGTGTCTGTGTTTGCCCCCTCTTGATCGACGTCTGCCTTCAAGCCACCTGGCCGAGACGGCCAGGGCCCCCTTCTTGCGCAGCTGAAGTGCAGACGCCCCCGCGACGTACAAAGGTCGGAGCAGTTCCCCCAAGCCAGTGCCCCCATCGAGCCCGCTCCAGGGGCGGGGGAGGAAAGGCAGCAAGACGAGGCGGAGGACGGGTGTTTTGGGCACCCTGGATTGGGAAGGGGGTGGGAAGTCTAGTGCATGCAGCTGGTTCCAGCCTTGCCGCCCAGGGTTTGTATCGATACGTGGCTACTTTCGGCGCTGGGAGGCGCCGGGAAAACCAGTTGCGTGGGTTGATTCATTTTTCCCCTTTCGGACACATCGAGGTGGACGGTGTTTCATCAGAGTGAGGGGGCTCAACGGTCATCATCAGTCCTTGGGCGCGTGGCTGAAGTCATGTGCCGCGGTGCGGATTTGTGTTGTTGTTGTTGTTGTTGTTGTTGTTGTTGTTGTTGTTGTTGTTGGTGGTGGTGGTGGTGGTGGCGGTGTTGCTGTTTGTTGTTGTTGATAATGCTGTTGTTGCTGCTGCTGTTGATGTGGTTGTTCCTATCGGTATTGTTGTTTATGTTGTTGTTGGCATTGGTGTTGGTGTGGTTGCTGGTTGTGTTGTTGTTTTTTTGGTTGCTGGTGTTGTTGTATTGTGTTGATGCTGTTGTTGTTGGTGGTGGTGGTGTTGTTGTTGCGTGTGTTGCTTGTTGTTTGTCGTGTGTTGTGTGTTGTGTGTTGTGTGTTGTGTGTTGTTCGTTGTTGTCGTCCCACCCGCGACCCACCCCGCGACCCACCCGCGACTCACCCGCGCCACACCCGCGACCCACCCGCGACCCACCCCGCGACCCGCCTGCGACCCACCCCGCGACCAACTCACCACCCACCCGCGACCAGGCCCGCGACCCACCCGCGACCCACCCTCATCGTTCGAACGAAAAGGTCAGCGCTTGCGGCGGGCGCGCTGTATACTTTGCAGTAACAAAAAAAGCGCCAGCCGCAGGTTTCTTCAGAGCCTCGCAGACAGCCGATGTCCCCGCCACCCATCCACTCTTATCCGCAACTGCGGGGTGCTACCTATATGTGTTTGCATCTGCAGGCCAGCTTCCCGCCCGTCAAAAACCAATCTGAGATTCAAGGGTTGTGCCAGTGAAGGGGTCGGGCCCACGTATCGAATAAACAAAATGCGACGGATGTTTCGGGGAAGGGCGACCGCCAGATAACGACAATGGCCGAGTTCGGGGGCCCACGTAGTCGACCTCCGAAATGTTGTGAGGCACCGCCGCTGGCGCGCCCCGCGCCATCGCCGATCCGAGCGTCGATCCAACAGACACGACCCCTCCTTTGTTCTGTTGGGTCCTCTCATTGAAACCGCAGCACCGCGAGTTTCCCTGTTCTCCTCATTCTCATGCTTCCCCAACCCTCATGTGGTGATAAGTCCTCGTTTTACGCGGCCTTGCCAATGAGTGGCTGCGCTCCCCATGCCCATGTCGGCACACCCCTACGATGTCAGAAGGCGCCGACACATGGCGCCACCGCCCCATGTCAGTACACCCCTCGCGAGGATCGTGGCTCCAGTGTGCCTACCCGCAGACGTCGTTGCGCGAGAACGAAATCGTGCGAGACAGAACACGACAACCAACGGCGGCGGGGCGTCCGCCATGGCCGTCGCGGAGGCGCGCGACGAGGTCGTCGTTTCGACGGCGTGCCCAGGGGGGAAGGCGGAGGGGGGGGGCCCTGCTCAGCCTTCCCCCCCTCGGCACGCCGCCGAGTTTGGTCTTCGGGCCATGGCTCGGATCTCCGGCGGCCGTTCCCGGGCTTGTCGAGGCACCCCTCGACGAGGCGCAGCCGCTGGAACGCACCCCGAGGCCGGAAAGCCGCCCGGAAGCGACGAGAACGCCCGAAGGCGTCGAACCTCGAGCTCGGAGCTTCCCCCCCGTCGGCGCGCCGCCGAGCTTCGTCGTCGTCCTCGGCGCCGTCGCCAGCCCGAGGGCGGCGGAGCGCCGGCGGCTGGTGGCGGAGCAGCAGCAGCTGGAGCGCGAGCTGGAGGCGCAGCGGCGCCTGGTGCGGCTGGACGCCGCGCGCGGCGCGGAGCGCGAGCGCCTGGCCGCCGAGGACGCGCGCGCACACGCATGCACAACTTCGTCCTGGTCGGGGGCTGCCAAGAGGGGGGCGGTGACGGGGGGGGGGGGCAACACGGCGTGGGCCATGAGATCTTTCCTCAGATTTCATGGCGCCTCGCCTTATTCCATTACGTCCCCTGGCCCCCCCTGGGCGGCGCACATGCCGGGCCATGATTTGTGCCCCCCCCCCCCCTCGGACGCCCCCCTCTTGGCCGCCCCCGACCTGGGTGTTCACGGTTCGGTCGGTTCGGTTGCGTCGCAGTCGGTCGCGTTCGGTCGGTTATTGTGTCGTTGCCGCGTCGCTACGCTTTTCTGGGTTGTTTCCGGCCTGTCGATCACGGTCGGGTTCGGCTTCGTTGTCGGTGCAGTCGATGTTCGGTTTTGCAGTCGCTTTGCTCGTCACTGCGAATCAATATTCGACCTCTGCCGCACCCCTCCTGACCCGGTGACTCGAAGCAAGGCTGAGCGACAGGTTGTTGCGACAGGTTGCAATTGGGGAGCGTTGAAGATCGCATTTTGCCTCCTTGCCCAGCTACTCCGACGACGACTGCGACGGATCGACGATTGAGGTGCTTGGTGCTTTGCCACAGGAAGAGAGAGTACCGCTGTCACTGCCCGTACCTTGCTTTCGTAAGTTTGGGCCCCCCAGGGAGGCCCCCGTCGCCGCGTTGGACGACGTCGCATTGACAATCGAGGTTCTTGACGGTTGCATTCTTGCGACGACGACAACGACGACGGATTGCCGATCGACGACGGAGTGACGGTGGAATTCGTTGTTCGATCGATTCCCGCCGCTCGGCGACGACGACGACGGGTTGACGATTTAGATGCTTTGCGATTGATTCGTGGCGCCCAGAACGGGGTGGCGCGAATTGATCGGCTACTGAGAACAGAAAAGGGAAGTGTATCGACACCGCTACCTTTGCCTCGTTTTTGCTCTTTTGGGCCACCCGCCTCCCGTGTGCGCAGCAGCGTTGCGGGCTCCGCTCGGCCAGGCGAGGTGACAACATCCCTGCCGCCGAAGCACCCAAGCACCAGAACACACACACACACAGACACACACACACACACACACACACACAGGCACACACACAAACCAACACGCACACACACACACACACACACACACACACATACACCGCACTCACATCTATACCCCTGGGTGGGTGTATGTGCGGCCGTTTTTGCGCTGTCATGTGCGCGCATGTGCGCGGCATGTGCCAGTCATGTGCCAGGCCTGTGCGGCCCTTCTTGGATGGACTTCCTACTGTGCACGTCGTGCCCGGGCATGTGCGGGGGCATGTGCGCTGTGTTTTGATGTATCCATCATACGCACATGCACGCACAGTCCGACGCACATGCGCGCACATGCCTGCACATGCGGGAGGTGTTCGAGAATCGCAGATCTGTCATCGGCACATGCACGCACATGCCTGTGCAACCTCTCTTCGGGAGGCCGCGCGGGCCCGCACATGCACGCACATGCGGTGAAGCGCGCGGGCGCACATGCGTGCACATCCCAATGCACATGCACGATCATGCCCTAGGAGCTGTCTGGGACCCCTGTGCCTCCAATGCCTCCTGGCCCCTGAAAGAGTTTGTTGTGCGTTTAGACTCGCCCGCTGCTGGCGGGGGCGGTTCTTCGCCCGGTTCGTGAGCTGGCGGTGGCGTGCCCTCCTAGTAAAACATTCTCCCGCGCGCCTTCTCAGCTCGGCCGGAAAAGCAGGGGTGGGGGGGGGGGGAGGGGGAGGGGAAGGAGGGGGGGCCGAGGAGGCGGACGCCCCCGGCTCGGCCGGCCCGCCCGCCTGTTCGGCTCGGCCAGAAGAGAAGGAGGAGGAGGAGGAAGAGGAGGAGGAGGAGGAGGAGGACGAGGAGGAGGAGGTGAGAGTTGCGAGGATGTCTCAGGCGAAAGTGGCTTGACGGCCCGAGCTCAGGGAATCTCGGAATCGCTAGCCTGGCTCGGCCACCCACTGGCGAGCTCGGCCTGTGCGAATACTGTGCGTACCTGTGCGGCGCATGTGCGGGACGTGCAAGAATGCCGGGGCCGGCGTTCGTCTCCGGGCGCCGGCGCGTTCGCGTCCGGCCGGTTCCGCGTGAGACGTCGTCGGCAATCTGGAGGCCGGCATGCTTTGACATGAGGTGATTTGGCCACCTTCGCCTGAGACATCCTCGCAACTCTGGTCTCGGAGATGCCCTGCCCCATGGTGGCCCAGCCACTTTCGCTTGAGACATCCTCGGAACTCTGGGTTTCGAGACGCCCTGAGCTGAGGTGGTTAGACCACTTTCGCCTGAGACATCCTCGCAACTCTGACCTCAGAGATCTCCTGCCCCATGCTGGTCAGGCCACTGTCGCCTGAGACATCCTCGCAAGTCTCGATTCCGATATGCCCCGAGCTGAGGTGGTCAGCCACTGTCGCCTGAGACATCCTCGCAACCCTGATCTCAATGATGCCCTGCTCGATAGTGTCTCGGCCCCTTTCGCCTGAGACATCCTCGGAACTCTGGGTTCCGAGACGCCCTGAGCTGAGGTGGTTAGACCGCTTTCGCTTTAGACATCCTCGCCCGAGATGCCCTGAGTTGAGGTGTTCAGGCCATTTTCGCCTGAGACATCCTCGCAACTCTGACCTCAATGATGCCCTGCTCCATAGTGTCTCGGCCTTTTTCGCCTGAGACCCTCTCAACTCTGGGTTCCGAGATGCCCTGCCCCATGGTGGTCCGGCCACGCTTGCCTGAGACATCCTCGCAACTCTGGGTTGCGAAATGCCCCGAGCTCAGGTGGCCATGGCACTATCGCCTGCGACATCTCTGCGGCATGTGCGGGCATGTGCGTCCATGCTTTCAGAGTTTTGCTTGACCGTGCATTCGACTGCGTCGGACGGTGTGGCATGTGCGCGCATGTGCGGCAATGCTGTTGAGGCTTTTGCATATTTGCATGGACATGTGCATGCGACTGTGCGGCATGTGCTTGCATGTGCGGCCCCTTCCGGACCGCAATTTCAAAGTGAGCACTATAGAAGTGAGCGCTATAGAAGTGAGTCCGGTGTATTCACACACGCACACACCAAAGCACCAGAACACACGCACACACACAGACGCGCACACTGGCCCATCTCGGTGTCGACCTCGAGGACTCCCCCAGTGTTTCTGGGGGCGCACCCCCAATATTGGCAACGCATTGGGTTTCTCTGTCGTACGGATGCGTGGCCGTGACGAAGGTTTTCATCAGTCCTGGTCCGCGCGTATTGCGATCCTGCGGAGCAGGCAACATGTGCTCCCCGCTGTCATCGCATCCCCTGCGGTGGACTATACGGTCTTGTGCGGAGGAATTCCTGGCCAAACGGCGAAGCAGGGGCCGAACACACTGCGCCGAACACCGCCGGCCGCACGTCGCCTTGAGAATCCCACTGGAGAGTCGTCGGCCGGGCTTCTTAGCTTCAGGGAGAAAAAACCCGGCCCGCCTCGCCCGCCCGACATGCCCTGGCCCCCAGGGCTCCAAGGGTACCGGTGCGCCCCGGGTAGTTATTCCGCCTCGCGCCTTCTCGGGAGCGTGGGCCACGAGATTTGTCCTCAGATCGCATGGCGCCTCTTCTTCTTTCATGACATCCCTGCCCCCTTGCCCCCTGGGCCGCGCACGTGCCGCCAGCCATGACTTGCGCCCCCCCTCCCCCCCCCTCTTGGACGCCCCCCCTCTTGGCCGTCCCCGGTCTTCGACGGAGGACGATTGCATACCGCGGCCACGGGGCCCCAAGGGGCCCTGGTGCTCTCTGCGTATCCCGCCTCGCGCTCTCAGGTGGGGATCACCCAAGCAAAACGGATGCATGGATCACCGCGGTGTAGGGATGAGTTTCCCAGGCCCCCGACGTCATGATTGTTCTCGGACGTGGACCCCCAAAGGTCTGGACCGCTTCCCGTCTGTTGGGCCCGCTTTTCATCCTGAGTCGTTTTTGTTGCGGTCCCAGGGATCGGCTTTTCATCCTGAGTCATGTTTTTTGTTGCGGTCCCGAGGCCCAGCAAGGGCCCCTGAAGGCCAAACATATAGAAAGATTGTCCGTTTTGATTTCTTTACGACGCGAGGGGGTTTGGTCCCAAGTGTCGAAACTCGATTGCGGGACCTCTCCAGGGGCGCGTTCTGACCAGAATTTGGAAGGGAATCCAGCCGTGGCCACGAGACGGGCGGCGACCCGTCAAAAACCTTGGCGCCCGAACCTCGACCTCCGATCCTCGACCGATCCTCGATGCAAAATTGTCAAAAATCTCGACCCTCGAACCGTGAGCCCCGATCCTCGACCGATCCTCGATGCTCCAGGCTGGGGTCTGGGTCGGGGTCGAGGCCGGCTGGCCGCGCCCCGCCCTCTTCCGGCAGGGGCTGCGTTGGGGTTGTGTCGGTTACGTCCCTCAACGAGAGGAAGATTCAAACATAGTCAAACATAGTCAAGAAAATAGTCAGTCGGCGGCGAGCGAGGGGGGGAAATGAGAAGGAGACGGCCTTCTTAGAAGGCGGCGGGACTTCTCAGCAGCCCTCGCGCCTTCTGATATGTTTTTTTGTATTCGGGGACAGCTTAGACCACTTCTCAGAAGGCCGGGGATCTCCCGAGCCTTCTGAGAAGGCTTTCTCCTTCTCACTTCCCCCCCTCGCTCGCCGCCGAGTCAGGTGACGATTTTTTGATTGCTTCTCACCCTTTTAGATTATTGTTTGGCTATGTTTTGTTTCTTGTCCAAAATCCGCCTGTATGGGGACATGCCCGATCTAACATTAGGGGGGATGGGCTCAGAGGGGGATACATCGAACCCCAATCGCCCAGGAACGCGCGGATGTGCTATGGGGGGCCTGTCGCCGAGTTGTGGGCGATGCATTGCCGATTCCAGGTCGATGGTTCCAACTCCTTGAGCGGGCCCCCCTATCGTTGCCCCTCAACGTGAGCGGGAGCAGAAGCAACAGGACGAGGTGGAGGAAATGAGAAGAAAAGTGAAAAGGAAGAGGGAAATGAGCATGGTAAGTATACCACAGAGGAAGAACAACTCGCCGTTTGGGCAGCCCCCCTATCTCAAGTAGTGGCGAAGCCGCCTTGCTCGCCTATAGGCCCCCCAAACAATGTTTGTATGACCTGTTGTGGTCTGCACGGGATGCTCTGAAAGCATTTCTGGCCGAGACTGCCTTGTGTCGGCACGTCGGTGTTATGTTATTAGAGTGTTGCTCTTCGTCTTCTAGCTTCTGATGGGTGTTATGAAAAATTGTATGGTAGGCATATAGGAATGCCAGGACGGTCGGTCCCTGCTCAGCTACTCACCGGTCGTTGAAAGTAGGTATTTTTGGATTCCCATATTCCAATTTATTTCACTTGCCTTCCTACTTCAAGGATCGAGTGGCTTAACCTCTTCCGTCCGCCCAGGGGGGCGGACAGAAGCCAATCTGTCTTCAACGCCCTCCTGCTTCGTGCTCCTACCTACTTGGAGCCCCGAATCCTCAGGGGTAACTCGGGTCAGGGCTCACTCGGGCTCGTTTCTCGGGAATCCGAGCCCGAGCTGCCCCAGATAACTCGGGCGCCCGGTTCTCCCGACCGTGGGGCATCGCTGCCCCTCCTCCTCCTCCTCCTCCTCCTCCTCCTCCTCCTCCTCCTCCTCGCTGCCAGCAATGATCTCTGCAGGAGAGGGAGAAGAGGGGAGGAGGAGGACGGAGGGAGGGGACCGAACGACTCACCTGTCAGTGCTTCCCTGATTCCCCTGGGCTCGCCGCGAGGCCCGGCGGGAGCAGGAGGCGCTGGACGCGCTGCGCCGCCAGGCGCAGCTCGAGGCGGCCGCCGCGCGCCCGCCCTTTTGCGCGCGCTCGCCCCGAAGGGGCCCGCCGCCGCGGCGGCCTCGGGGTCCTCGAGCCTCGCTCCTCGAGCCCCTGGCCGCTCTGCCCTCGAGGACCTCGAGGCCCCTGCCAGCAGCTCCGCTCCTCTCCCTCGGCCCCCGCCCTGGCCTCGAGGGCCTCGCGCCCCCCCCCCGCCCCGGCCCTCCTCGCGCCGCGAGCCTCCTCGGAATCCTCGTGCGCACGAGGAGCATCGAGGACGCTCGAGGAGGTGGAGGAGGAACAGCCTCGAATCCTCGAAGCCTCGAGCGCGCGAGGAGCATCGAGGAGGCACGCGTGCCTCCTCGCTGCTCGAGTCCTGGACCCTCCTCGAGCCCTCGAGCCTCCTCGAGCCCTCGAGCCCTCTTGCCCTCGATCCCCGGGCCTCGCTCTCGAGCCCTCTCGCCCTCGATCCCCTCCTCGAGCCCTCGAGCCCTCGAGCCCTCTTGCTCGACCCTCCTCGCCCCGCGAGCCTCCTCGAAATCCTCGTGCCTCCTCGATGCTCGAATCCTCGACCCTCGTCGATCCTCGAGCCCTCTTGCCCTCGATCCCCGGGCCTCGCTCCCGGCGCGCGCGCGCCCGGGCGGCCCGCCGTCGCCCAGCGAAAAGGTCGGCCAGCTCCAGAACCAGTCACAAAAGGGGGTCGTTTGCAAGGGGTTGCTCCTCCTCCTCCTCGGACCTCAGACGACCTGCTCGGGTCAGATCTCCTCCTCCTCCTCGGATCCCCTCCTCCTCAGATCCTCCTCCTCCTCAGATCCTCCTCCTCCTCCTCCTCCTCCTCCTCCTCCTCCTTCTCCTCCTCTCCTCCTCAGATCTCCTCCTCCTCCTCAGATCCTCCTCCTCCTCCGATGTCCCCCTCCTCGGATCTCGCTCCTCTAGCGTGGCCGCACCGCTCGGGCAACGGCATCCTGCAGTGGTGGGTGTACAGTCGGGGCGCTGAAGAAGGAACCCTTTTCGTTTGGGAGGGGCTCGGTGTTCCTTGATTGTTCTACAGCTTGCCTTAGGTTTTCATGAGGTTTCCCATGGGAGATCGACGTGCAATTTCTGGGAAAAAAGGGGCCTCGTTCCTTATTTCGGATTCCTTAGGTCAACGCCCCGACGGTACTTGATGTTCGTTTCGGAGGCGCGCCTCCAAGGAGGACATGTAGTATTAGTATGTCCCCGGGCGTCCCATCGTTTCCGGCGGATATCGTTCCTCCACCTCAAATCTCCGACGATCTACCTTTCTCGATGTTGGTCACCGGGGCCGTTGTCGGGCACCCGGGCCATCGTCAACGGATCCGGGGCGAACAGAGTGCCCTGGGGACAGGGTCGGGATTTCTGGGGCCTCACAGTCAAAGCAAATCAGATCGGCGGGTATTTGCGTCTTCCCCCTCCTCCTCCTCCTCCTCTTCCCCCCTCCCCCTCTCGCCCGATCCTCCTCCCTCCCCCTCCGCTCCGCCTCCTTCCGCCTGCTGTTCTTCCCCTGGGGGGCAAGAGGCTGTCTGACTGCATCGGGGGCAGGGAGTATGTGGGAGGCAGCCTTCACGGCCCCTGTGGTTGGTAGATGGTTCTCTGTGCGGTAGCCTGCCCAGCATGCCGAGGCGGAGCACTGTGCCAGTGATGCCGGGTCTACAGCATAACTGACAAAAGCTCCCTCGCTGGCGAAGCGATCTCGCCCTGGCCCGTCCTCTTTACTTCACCGGTCAGTCACGTTCGCGCTGGACTGTGGACCCAGTTCCCAGTTATTGTGACCAGCTTATTCTACACTGGCGTCCTCATCGGCATCCTTGTGGGGTGAGGTGCCTCCCGCGCCATTTTGGCTGCGCTTCGCGCTGCTCCGCTCTGTGGCGGCGTAGTTCGCTTCGCTGCTTACTCCTTCGCTACGGCGCGGCCCGCCCTAGCTCACCGCCCACCAAACCACCCCAACCCAACCCGAAGGCTCAGATTTACCCTCGATTTCCAGTGGGGGGGGGGTCGGGAAACACCGAAAAAACTCGTGTGGAACCCTTGCCCCCCCCCCCACCCCGAAATTCGGGTCTTCGGGTTGGGTTGGGGTGGTCTGGTAGGTTCGGGGGAGCGTAAGACCCGGGTTTGCCAGGACTCGGGTTCGCCATCGTTTTTTGACGACCGCGCCTCGGATTTTGACGAGGAGGAGTTTCGTGGGATGTCTGCAGCGGGAGGCCTCGTCAAAATGCAGGCTCGGCCTCGTCATTTTTTTGACGACCTCGTCGGGTATTTCCAAGTCCCCTGTACCCGGGTCTTACGCCCCCCTGAAGGTAGTCACTAGCGCGCTCGGCGTTCGACCTGCTCCTGGTCCCGAGAGCTTGTCCGTGCAGTTGGCCGGGCGTCTGCACCCCTCTTGCGATCAGTCCGGCACGCAGCCGCGCGGGCCTCCCTCTGACCGACAGGCCGAGTTCTCCTCGTCTCCCTGCCGGTCGATTTCCCCCTCCTCCTCGTCCTCCCTCCCCTCCCTCCTCTTCGTCCTCCCTCCTCTTCGTCCTCCCTCCCCCTCCCTCCTCCCTCCCTCCTTCCTCTTCGTCCTCTTCGTCCTCCCTCCCTCTTCGTCCGTCCTCTTCGTCCTCCCCCCTCCTCTTCGTCCTCCTCCCCTGCCTCACCTTCCCAGGATCAACGTAGACGACGACGACGACGACGACGACGACGACGACGACGACGACGACGACGACGACAGAAGTCGACCTCCAGAGACCTTCAGATGTCCCTGCGCCGGAGGCTTCCTGAGGCCTTCGTGGGCCAGGTCGCCCCAAGGGGCGCGAGGATCTGCGAAGGTGTTCTTGCTTCGCGCGGCGCGTGTGAGGCCGCTGAGGTGGCCTCCGATCTGGCCTCTGCCGGGCTGCGGTGCGAGGGCGCGAAGGTAATTAGCAGCGCGTCGCACATCGCCGGGCGCGATGCGCGAATTCGGTTGGCCTGGGGAGGCCAGCAAGCCCAGGGACGCCCCAACGAGGCCAAGAACAAGTCACGCGCCCGTCTCTTCGTGGCGGCGTGGGGCGCGAGGTGTCAAGCAGCAGCCGCCGGGGCGCGGCATGGCGAATCCGCACCCGAGCGGCCGCGGAGGAGGGCAAAGGATCAGGAAGGAAAAAAACACACAGACACAATTCATCGTCGACCCCCAGGGAAGTATGGAAAAACATGGGAAGTAGGGGGGAAGACAAGAACTCAGAAAATATGGGAAAATATGGGGAATCATTTTATTTGTGTGTATTTATTTGTGTGTGTCCCAGGGCCCCTTCAAAGGAGGGTGCCGCGCACAGAGCAAGCAGCACTTCCACGCGTGGTGCCGGTGGCCTCGCTGCTCCAGCAGGAGGCGTACACGAGGCGGTGGCCCTGTTGGCGGGGCACACTGGGGCGCACCGGGGCCAGGGCAGGCCGGGTGGGGAGCCTTGAGACGGGGGTCAGTGCAAACGGGGGTCCGCCAGAGCGCCCGAGCTTGCAGGAGCCTGCAGGGCCAGGGGCGCACCGACCTGGGCTTGGGTGCAGGATCTTGCAGGCTCTTGCAGGATCCTCCGCGCTGACCCGGGCTTGGGTGCAGGATCTCGCAGGACCCTGCCAGGCTCGACTGACCCGGGTCAGGATTGACCTGGGTCGGAAGGTCCCCGACCAGGTGGAGGGTGGGTTTGAGCGTGGGGTCTGAGCCCAGCGCGAGGACGTCCGAAGAGGCACGGAGCCCTGCGCCCACATAGCCAGGGCACGTTGCCGGGTGCTGGAGGCCTGCTGGTCGCCCACCGCAAACACAACAAATTATATTTTACAATCAGCTCAATCTCAAGGATGTTGAGTCTGCTCGCTCTCATCTGCTCGCGTGCCATTCAACACGCATGCCCCACATCCTCGATACCCGCCCTCTTCGTCTTCGATCGTACCAACATGGGGGGCATGCCTTCCCTGCCTGTCGCGTGTCCCTAAATCAAGGGAAGCAGGGGAGGAGGGAAGAGGCAAGGGGGAGGGAGAAGGATGGAGCACGAGAGAGGTTTGCATGAGGGTGGCCAGGAGCAGGAGTACAAGCGGCATGACCAGACGGTTTTTGGCGGGCGGACCCTAATTGGCAGGTCGGGGTTGAGGGTCCAGACGGCTGCGTCGAGCGTCGCTGAAGCGTCAATACAAAATTAATCGCAAGGAAGTTTCGAGTGATAGCGTGATTCCCAAGTACATCATGAGGAAACCAATGGTGAGAGCATGCTTCCTGAGTCTTGGGGGCGCGGCGCTCGAGTGGTAGCGCGATTCCCAAGGGTATCGTTAAGAAACCAATAGCGAGAGTCTGCTTCCTAAGTCTTGGGGGCAAGGTGCTGCAATAAATTATGCGGAAGTATCACGCGAGAGCGCGGCTCCTGCATACATTGTGAGACCAGTCCCGCGCGACAGCGCGATTTTGAAGTAATAATGTGAGGAAGCATCAGGCGGGAACCGCAGTTGGTGGAAGCTGGGAACCAGGGGCGCAGTTTGAGGACCAAGATGTGTCCTTCAAACTCCGTGCAAGCCCCTGGATGAGCACTTGAATTGAAAATCGTAAGGTGCACCGAACAGAGGGGATCAACAGTTTTATCCAGCAACAACAGCAACGACGACGGCGACAACAGCAGCATCAACAACAACGACAGCAACAATCATTTTATGATAGTTCGCTCCAATCTGCTCGCGTACCATTCAACACGTATTTCCCAAACCCTCGGTACGCGCCCTCGTCGTCTTCGATCGAGTCCCTTTGGGGGCATGTCTTCATTACCGGCCACGCGCATTCAGCGCAGCCCCTAAAACCTGGCAGGGAGGACGGATGGAAGAGGGCGGGGCACGGATGAAACACGAGAGAGATGTGCAGCACCGGGTTAGGAACAGAAAACACGTGGCAGAACCAGACGGGCTGATCGGGCGGGCCGACCCTCGCGGGCGGGTCGGGAAGGCGGGCTCACGCGGCTAGGTCGAGCAGGCGTGTTTTTGAAGCTTGAGCCCTGAGAAGTTGCTCAGCT